GTAGCTTTATTAACCATATTTTGCCTTTCACGTTATTGTTCACTAACCTAAGCTTAAGGTAAATCTTTCTCATCTGTATTATATAAGTACAACTATTAATCCTATTGCTATGGGCTTTCCTGTGGTCAGGGGTAAAAGGGCATGTCATTATGTATATAGACTTACATTCAGAATTTTATTGAACTACTATTTTATGAATGTATGTCAATAAGTTTGATATAAAGTTGTAGATTATAATTCAAATTTTAGTGTTATACATTAGTTAATTTCATAATTTAAAAGTGAATATTAAGAAAAACACCTAAATATTGATTTTTGTATGTCGCGTGGTATGTTGAATGCAGCGTCGGTTCAAATTAGGTGTTTGTGATGTCCAAATACAAAGTTTATAGTTTCTTAGAAATTAGAATCTCAAATTACCAATATAGATAAGCTAGAACGTAAGATAAGAACATTTTATCTTTTCTATATGCTAAGATATTATTATTTTTAGTGAATCAACCAATTTGGGCTAACTCACCTCTTCCATTTTTGAAATGTTTACATATACCTACTTCACTCTATGATGTGTGTATAACCAATTGAAAGCTCAGAATGTCCCCCACGTGATTTTCTCAGCTTGTTCATGGTAAAGTCGAAGCAGAGAGGTAAAAGATAATGGAGATCAAAATATATTTTTTAGACCCTTAGGGGTTACTATTTGCCTATATAGCGATGGGGGCACAGTTGTCATACAGTTGTTGTACGTTCCACTTAGGCATCTTGTTGGTTACTGAAGGGCTGTGAGGAAACATTGAGGGAAACCATATATCAACATTAGGTGGGATGCCAGTAAATACTTTCCAACTCATTTTACTCTGATATGTCACGAGCGGTAATTTTGAATGACAATGGGAAACATTTGTCCCAGTTACAGTGGGAGGGGTGGGAGCACTGGGAAATATATGTCCTAGCCACAGTGAAAGGGTTAAAATCAAAATTACTTTGTATGTTGGATAGTGAACATTAAAAAAGAAATAATGCACAAGCAAATCATTACTTAAAAAAATCTTAAACTCAAAAGAAAAAATATGTGTATGAAAGTCATGTAATATTTATTGATAATCTATAAAATTTCGTGAAGATATGCTTACTGTATTAAAAGTTATAGTATGAAAACTATAACAAGCACAAAATGGTTATGAGGTTGGTCCCTGGTATTGAGCCCGTAGTGAGAGAATTAAACCATATTATGAACCTCTTTCTGTGAATAATTAAGTACTCGATGTTTTCAAGACTGTTTTGTATTCAGTTGAGCTTGGATAAAATAATGTTACAGTTAACAATTAATATTAACTTCCTCAACTTCTGATCAGAGCAGGTTACCTACAGAGTGAAATTGAAATGTAATCTGTTATTGGTGATGAGTTTAACTTATTAAGTATAATATAATTAAATATAATAGGTATTCAGGTACACTTGCTCAATGGGTAATTTAATAGTGTCTACAAAAATGCATATTATGGAAAGAAATGCTGAGATAGTTTAAACTTGGAGAATAAAGGAAAGAAACAAACACAAGTGAACAATTAGAACAAAATCTTTATTAACAATATTTGGGTTTGTGTGAACTCTCACTTACTGGCTCTCTTCTTAATCATTTAAGCTGAACTTGTTGCTGGAGCTGGAGGATTTCTACTTGATTGCATAAGACAGACAAAAATGATTCTGAATTAACACCCAAATTGAGACAAAAAGTTAAAGTGCAGTATACTGTAATCTAATTTTGGTTTTTCAGCCTATCCCTTCCTCTAGGCTATCCTACCGTGGTCCCCTTTTTGCCCTTCCACATGGTTATATGACCATGGGTTATCAGTTTCCACTATTGTTGGTTCTCAGGCAGCTTTATTAATTACTTTTCTTGTGTCCTCTTCTCTTTATTCTTATCCTTCCTTCTTCATCAACCCCCTTGTCTTACTCCTATGCCTGACTGGGACTTTGATGTAGTTTTACATACTCTGTTTGAGCCGTTGGCTTTGTGTTCATTATACCTTCTTTCTCGTAAAACATGTTTTCTTCTCCTTCCCACCTGTGGTCACTGTCATTTGGATGTATATACCATTGATGCTTTTTTCACACTCTTTCACCATACTTACTCCTCTATCCAGATTGGGCATTTTTTTTCTTAGACTTTGGCTGCTGAGGACAGTGATTGTTTTTCACATTTCAATGCATAAAATTCATCAGTTGTCTCTATCTCTCTTGGGTTTCATATTCACCGACCCTTGGACATGATCCTCCAGGCTGGCATGTAGATGAATCCACTTGTGTTTGTCACCCATTATCTTTATCATCTGGTAGTTTGTTTCCTGTAGGATTTCGACTCTTTGCAGTCACTGTTCTCCAATAAAACTATATACTGTCTTTGAGAAGGGTAAGTACATTTTATTTTTCAGTATCCTTTTCCTTTTTATTGGATGCTACTAGTTGACTGGTGTTGCCTTCCAGGGTATGCTTATTTTCCAAAATCTGCACTGGGCCAGAGGTAACAGAAAGTACTTTCAACTTGGCTCTACCAGTGCCCACTGTCAAGATAGGGTATTCTGCAAGACCACTAGAGGTATCTTTGTGGTATTAAAATTACTCAATTGCCTGATACAGACTGTACCGTTCCATGAACTATCATAGAAAAAGCCAGTATCAGGGAAATAACTGGTCTCTTCTTTGACTTGCATTTGCCAGCCTTTAAAAATGGGTTTTAAAGGAATTCTTCTCCTCTCCTCCTTCAGGTGGAGGATGAGAGACCCTTGCCACTTATCAGTTCCTAGCTGCTGAGGTGGTGGACCTTTGAGAGTTCCTTAATGATTGTGTACAGCACAATATGGTGGGAAGTAGGGCAGTGGTGGCATGTCTGAGTAGTGTGAGTCACCCTTCAAACAGCTAATATGCCCTCCTCCTGCAGCTGGAAAGGGTTTATAACCCCTGTCTCTGTCTGTCCAGTTGAGTCGAGGTGGGACACACACTGGTTGGTCATGATAAAATTCTGCCCATCACTGCTACACTTGGGGCTCTTTTGCCTTTCCCTCTGTTTCCTTCTGGACAAAGAGTATATCTTGGTCGAGACAAGATGCAGTTTTTCATAGGTGTGCCCCTATGGAGTCCCTGCTATAGGGTGTCACACTCCATGGGCTTTCCCTTTGGGAGCTCATCTAAGTTTAATGTTTGTACTGGTCCCTCCATCATTTCAGTGTGGGATACTAGTTATTCTATGTGTAGAGGTGAAGTATTGTCTCAGAAGTTAACATTTTCCTTACCTAAAAATGTAGTTTTGATAGTTATTTACCACTTCACACATTCACACCCATCCTCCCCACTTCTGGTGCACTTTCTTCTAGCATCATCTCAGAATAGAATTATTTTGAGTGCAAGTGTTTAGGGGGAGTTACTGCACAAGGATATTGTGTCGTTCTCCTATTGGTGGAAGGCTGTCATTGTATGATGATGTCATCATGTACTGGTGCAGTTCACATTAAATGTGACTTGTAGGTGAAAGTTAGCTCAAGGCTAATGGAATGCAAGTCTCATAGGCAGATGCATGAATGATCAAGCTATTCTATATGAAGAGGTATCTATTGGAAATACATTTTCAGGTAAGAAAAATGTAATGTTCAGTGGAAGTTTCTAGGGTTGCAAATGAAGACTTGGTCAGTGTTGGAATAACACTGTTTGCCAGCTAAGGAACTTTTCTACAGTTCTCAGTGTAATGAAAGTTGTAAAATATAAAAAAATTGACCCCATAATGGAGAATTTTACAATGATGAAAATCTTATTATTGTCAGACTGCAGTCAGTGTCTTAATGGAAGGTCAACTAGATTTAGATATGATTTATGTGTGCATTATAGTAATTAGATAAATAGTATTTATTTTATTGCCATCATTGGTTATTGAAATAACACTTATTTCTTACTATACACATTCATTAGGATGTAGGTATTTAGTTGACAGTTATTCAGCTTCTAACTTTTACTTTCACAGACTTGTCAAGCAGAGTCATAAGAGATTAAATAGAAACTCCTATCTCTACATGTAACAATAAGTCGGGGATCAAGTTCAACGAGTATGTGAGTTGGAAACCTGAAGTTTGTAACTCATAATTTTGTGGTATTCTGGTGTCTGATAGATTTATCCTTATTTAATAATGTTGGCTTGCCTCAACTAGCAAAGGTCATGATGTTTAGTGCTTGTTTTTTCCTCTCACAAAGGAAGCATCAGAAACTTCACTTGAACAATGTGATAAAATGATCCACCATTTAACAACCTCTGATTCACTTGCTGTTCATTCATGTAATGCTCTCACATTGTTTGAATGATAATGTCAACATACTAAATTTGTTGTAATGTTGTTCAGTACCTGTTGATGTGTACTAGTAGAATTACCTGGAAGTACCTGACTGGGACTTTATCATAATTTTCAATAGGCTATCAAGGCTGGCTTTGAAGTGCACAGAAAGGAAATAATCAGACAGTGAAAGTAAAGGGACAGTTGAGTTGATTATTTAGTTTTCTCTTATGTAAATCATGTTCTGAAAAAGCAAATGTAAACTGTTTTGAGAAATGACCAAAATTTGTTACATTATGTGACTTTTGAGTTCCTAGTAATATTGAAGAAAACAACCTATCTCTTAGAAGAACATGAGTTCATTATCCTCATTGAATTTTTGTGTATGTTTTTGTGAGTTTTATTTGCAGTATTGTTATAGGAAAACATTAACAAGAAATTATTTCTTAACCATTTTTGATGATGCATAGGTTTTGTAAGTTAGTGTGTTATTAAGAAAGAATGTAATTTTGTGGAATCTTTAAATATTGTTTAGACTTCCTGACTTTAAAGTTGATTATGGCATATGTCTGCATACATGTCTTAGTAATTTTAGTATTATAGGCTAAAGCTAAAATAAAAATACATTAGTACTAAGATAAGCAATATTAAATGTCTTATTCTGGAACTTCTTTTTCTTAGTAAAAAAACCACGAGAAGCAGTACTTGATGCCAAGTTAGTGTCGGAGTGTGCTTCACTAAGCAAGCAAAAGGCAGAAGCTTTTCATACTAACTTTACAGTTTTTCGACCTGTTGAGTTTGCAGAAAAACTGGTAAATATTTTTTTTTAAATGTAAAAATATTAAGGTTTTAGCAAGATGGAAAGATTTCCATAAATTGAATAACATATATGTGAATATGATAAGCTTAAAAATTGCTGATATACTGTATTATTCATTTAAAGAGACTGAAACATCTCAAAAATCTTTGAAAATACTGCTGTCTTGTTCTTTTTTTCAAAATAACATTTATAGATAATAAAAAATTGTGTATAAAAATTATTCATTAATGACTGAAAGCATATATATTTTATAAGTATGCAATATATTGATCAATTATTTTGTTGTTTACATTACTTTTGTTCATGTACAAAAAGTATTGGTACATACCAAGCAGTTTTATGTTATCTTCCATATTATACCAGTTGATGTGATGTTCTGATGACAACAAACATTTTTCGTTTCTGTATTGAGAGTATTTATAAGTGCTTTATATTTTGGCAAAACTGGTATTGAATTAAAATAAGAAGTCTTGGTGCAAATTATAATAGTAATTAAAAACTTGTGAGTTCTTTCATTTGGTCAGTAAAATGTTAAAATGGCAAGGAAATGAAACACTTGTAAAATAATGAGCTTTAGTTGAATTATTCCATTTTGTACCAAAGTATTTAAAGTAAAATATTTTGTAGATTAGTAAGCAAAATTCTCTAATGACCTACCTTTCCACATAAATGTTAATAGTGTGTAATGTTTATGTGGTATGCCTAATAGTTAAACATCTTGAAACTATTGAACTTGTGAATAGTTTTTTGAGTTACTTTATGTAATTTTTGATTATTGAATATTATGAGTAGTATAGTCAGAAGTGAAAGATACATATTTAACAGTATATGTGTTCTTTGATTTGATAGGTGATTCTTGTCATTTATAAGAAATATTCAGGATATATTCTATAAATAAAAAACTTTTAATTAATGGTGTAAACATGCATATTACACAAATTTAGCACCTAATTACTTTTTATTAGTGATAAACTATTTTTCCTACTAGTTTTATAAAGTGTTTAATTATATATGTTTGCTACATAAAATTTTAAGAAAAAAGAATGCTTATAGATAATACATTGATGTGATTCAGGAAGTGTCTTTTTTTAATTAACTAACACAAGTAATACAGCTTTTGAACATGTTTTCTTTAATATTGCTAACAAGCATTGTGTCTTTTTTTAACAGGCAACATTTTTGGGTAAATCAAGAGTGGAAGATGATGATGATGTTGAATTTAATAGAAAAACCCTAAGTAACCATGATGTTTCTATACCCAAACACAGATGGGTTACTTTTGGCAAAACAATTAGTACAGTTTTCCACAAGACACCTTCCTTTCACTTTATGTGAGTGTTTTAAAATTAAGGCCTTCCACGTATCATCATCATTTTGATCTTACATAACTTTTGACTTTTGATGGTTATTATGGAATTGAGATAAATATTTTGATAATGTTTTCAGGCATACTTGTACTATAGTGTATTAGAATTTGATATTTCTGATATGATATCTTACCTCCTCTCACACAATAACTTTTTCCAGTTTATACTGCTCTCTAAATGCACAATATGTTTGCTCACCACTAGCTTTGATGCACCCACTTACCGTCATGTGATAACAAGTGGTATAGTTTTGCTGTAGCATGCAAATGAGCAAAGTCTCCTAAGCCTCAATTAGATCTCCTATTTCCTGAAAATGAAGACTTCGACAACCATTTTCATGATCTACCTGTCTAGATCTCCCACATCCTTCTACTGCCTATTTGGACATGATCACTCATCCTTCTCCAGGCTTTTATTTCCATCTGTTCATTGTTCCCAAGAAGACCTGGAATTGGTGTCCTGTAATCGGCCTCTCAAACCTTAGTCGCTTCATCGACCTCCTGCATTTCACCATGGAGTCTTTTATCACTCTCAGATGGTTGTTCACTCCAGGTCTATGGTCGATGTCACAGATACTTACTTTCATATCTATTTCTCCTGCATCCAGACTTTACCTTCAGTTTGTTCACAGAAGTTGGGTGTTTCAATTCTGTGCTCTACCATTGGTCTGGCATCAGCTCCATACATTTTCTGTCACATAGTCAAGAGTTTTTGCCTGCCATATTCATGACCAGGGTCTTCAGTTTCACTATTATATGGATGACTGACTCCTTTTGGCTTCTTCCTAACAAGCCTGTCACATTTCCTCCCATAAGAGGTGGTTCATTTCAGATGGCTTGTGAAACTGAAGAAGTCCCATCTCACCCCTTCTCAGTATATTATTCACCTGGGATGTCTTTCAACACCTACCTCAGCAGAGCCCAGCCTTTTCCTCTATGTTTGAGGGATATTGAGCTCTTGATGTTTAAGGCCAAGACTTCTTCTGTTCCTGCAAGTGAGGTTCAGTCTCTTTTGGGGACTTAAGCTTTCATGGAATCCCTCATCCCTTGGGGTCATGCACACATGCATTTCCTTCAATGGGTGCTGCACAATCAATGGAATTTTTGGGATCTTTTGGATTCTGCCATCCACCTTCCTCTTTCCCTATAGGTCGATTTTGTCTGGTGGCTTGACAGGGACAACACCTGGGCTGGCATTCCTCTGCCTCCTCTCCATCCAAATTTTCATCTCTTTACCAATACTTCTCTTATGACATGTTGGGGGTGTATTTGGATTCTCAGAAGATTGCTGGTCATTGGTTGGAGGTCAAATCTTGCCAACACATCAACCTTTTGAATCATTTTCTGCCTGTAGTACAAGGCCATCTAGTCATGATATATTCTGACAAATTGACCATTGTCTCTTACATCAATGATCAAGGGGGTAAACAATCTCATTTGCTTTATTTTCAAACCCTGGATCTTATATTTTTTGGCCCAATCTTGACAACTCAATCTTCTTGCTTGTCATATCACAGGTGCTCTGAATCTTGTTGCAGGTGAGCTTCTTTGCCCTGATAACATTCTACCAACAGAGTGTTTCCTTGCTCCCCACGTTTTTGGTGGTTATGCTCACAGCTGTGTACCCCACTCCTGGATGCATTTGCTACCCATCTCATTAACAAACATCCCCTCTTCCAGTCTTGGGTTTTGTAATACTTTGGCTCTAGGGATGGATGCATTCAGTCAGGATTGGACTAATCTTTACCTGTATGCTTATCCTCCCATCCATCTTCTTTTTCAAGTTCTCTCTCTTATAGAAACCACCCTGTGTTGAGTCCTCACCAATTCATTCTGGCCTGCACAACTGTGGTTTCCACTCTTGAACCTCCTTCAGTTTTTTCTCATCCTCAGTCCTTCATCTTTCATCTTGTTACACTGTCTTCATGAGTGGATTTTGTCCTGTCTTTTTCAAGGTGATCCGGGCACTCTGTATTGGTGTCTAACCTTCCTTTTTTCTCACTCGGTCCACTCATCTTCTTTGCTGGTTTACCAGTGTAAATGGCACATTTTTATCATTGGTCTTTGCATCGTGGCTTCTCACTTTCTCAACCAAGTGTTTCCCACATCTCTGACTTTTTTTACTTGGCTTTTCGATGGTGGTTTATCTGTCTCTACCATTACAGGCTAGAGAGTGGCCTCATCAAATACCTTTCATTTTTTCCACATCTGCCATATTTTTTCCTCTTCGTGTCATGTCTTTCCTGTTTCGTTCCTTTTGCCTGATTCGTCTGCCTTATCCACTTCCACTACCAGATTGAAATATCAAGGTTATCCTTTGTGCTCTTACTCTTCCTCCTTATGAACCTTTGGCCTTTTGCTCTTTGTACTATCTCTCCCTCAAGACTTATTTTTTACTACTCTTGGCATGTGGACATTGTAGGTTAGGTACCTTTGCTATTGATGTTTCCCATATTCTATATCATCATATGTATGTCCTTATTTATTCAGATCATAGTTTTTTTCCCAAACACATTGGTTGCACATGAAGGGGATATCACCTTCCCTCCATTTTTTCTTCTGTCCATTTCTCATCTATATTCCAGTTCTGATCCTGATCATTTTATTTGTCTGGTGTGGGCTCTGCATTGTTATGTCACCTGCACACTTCATTTGTTGGCTCTCATTTTCATCTTTTTATACCTTGGAACTCCTCCTTTACCCGGGATCTCTCTCCTGTCACACTAAACAGATGGCTCTGTCAGCTTATTCATCTTGTCATCATCTGAAGATTCTCCTTATATCTTTCACATTTCCTCCCACCAGATCCATCATGTCATTTTTCCTTGGCCTCTCACTTCCATTGTCCATTAGAGGAGATCATGTAGGCTGGGATGTAAACTACACCTGATACATTTATTGTGCATTACTTGCATCATTTGGCTGTCTTTTTCTCATCTGGCTATATTTTTCCATTCATCGCTATTCATCATACCTGTATCGGCTCAGAAAGTTCTTACTTTTTTATCACTTAACTTTGTAGTGGCTCCTTTCTACTTCCCTAGATCCTGCTCTGTGGTGTGTGGCTCCTGTCCAGGTATATTGGGTCTGTGCAGATATGCCCTTGGCTGGGTTGGCAGAATGGAAGTTGTTTTCCCTTCTGCTTTGTGATCTTGAGATGAAAACAGTTGGGATCCTCCTCCTACTGTGGATTGGAGTGGACCCACCAAATATGGTATTATGTGCCAGTGCAAAAAGTGAGCTAAATGAGCATTCTTTGGAAGGTGCCCAAGAAAATCAATGGAGTGTGATACCCTAATGCATGGAATCACACTCGTGGGAGGCTGCACCCCAACTGTACCAGGTATATCTTTGCCCGTTGTAAAGATATGTGTCGCTAAGTTGGGTAGAAAAGATGCTCCTCCAATCTGTAATTATACATACAGGATGGTGTAGAGTGACTAATGTGGGATTCTAGCTATTATGTGAATGGAGGTATCATATTGGAAATTATAATTTTCTTACACTGAAAATGTATTTCTGATAGATACTTAGCTCCAATCACACTTCCCACCCATTCTCCCTACTTCTGGTGCATTTTTTTCCCCCTAATCTTAAAGTGATGATAGTGCTCTACAGTATAGAGGGAGTCAGCTGGTGGAGGGTTGTCCCATGCTTATTTGCATGCTACAGCACAGCTATACCACAGGTAATCATGTGAAGGTAGGGAAGAGCATCAAGGCTAGTGGCGAGTGAAATTGTGCATTTAGAGAGGAGGTATATAGTGTGTGTGTTTGGAAAATGTCAAAGGAATTTTTTTTGTGTTTTATCTATAGATTTCAATTACATGGACATGTAGCTGAACTTTATTGACATCATAAAAACTGGCACAAGATAACAAATGTGTGGGAGCTATTTTAGATTTGTAAAGTAGTAATTAATATTTTCTATAGATAAAGTAACTTTTAAGGCCCATTTTACAGGAATTTGCTAAGATTTAGAATGAAATGAAGTGAACCACATATTTTAATATAACAGTCTTTGTTATAATAGAATATTTTAAGTAAAACAACACTCAGTGACTTACTGTTCTCAGCTAAATGTTATTGTTGATATATTTTGTAGCAAAAAATATATGAAATAACATGCATGGGCAATACACATAACTTGTTTCAATTCTTAAAACTCATTGTTTTTCTTTTAAATTGTAAATTTATATATATTTGTAAGTCAGAAAGTACTGAATTTGGGGAGTGCTTAGAGATTAAAAGAAATTTAACAAAAATAACTTAGAATCATTTTCTTCAAAAAAAGTTCACACAATATCAAGTTTACTGCCATCTTAATACTTAAAAGTTCTTACCAAAAAATTGTAGTAAAATTGAATAATATCTAAGGGTTTTTTAAGTGACAAAAAAAATATTATACTGTTTTTTCTTATGTTTTTATATTTATCAGTGTGTATTTGTACAGTAGGATACAAGTTCTTTTCTTACAATTAACTATGTTTTTTCAGTTTTCATCCATATAATTGGAAGCTATATATATTCTTGGATTATGTGAAAGGCACATTAATATATTTCTACTGCATACAAAACATATTATTTTGCCAGAGAATTTTAAATATACACTCAGATGTTTTAAACGAAAGTAGATCATTATATGGATATTTTTTTTGCATTAGGTGTGGTAGTTTTGAACGTGGTCCCATGGAATATAAGAAAGCCACTCGTAATTCTCGAAGAGATGAAAAGGATGCCTCTTCTAGTGTTGTTGTTCCACAAAGTGTAAGTAGCTTAATGTGTAATTACTTTGTAAAACCCAAACAACCATTCTCACTGGCTTCCTTTCATTTTTACAATGCTGTTCAATTTTTGTCTCTCTTATGGCTATTATATTTTTGGTGTTCCAATATCTTTTGATGCTTCAAAAAGACTTATTGTCAATAACTTAAAATGTTGAAATTTATTAATTTTATAACTTTTCACATTTGCTAATAAAAACTCGAGAAATATATCACAATCATTAATAAAAATTGTAAGGATCTTTCCACACCAGGCAGAAAACTTTTTTAGTAGTTTATGGATTAAACATTGTTATACTGACGTAGCATATGAAACGTACCGTTTCAGGTGTTTTTTTCCTTTTACTTAAAAGATGAACATCTTGCTCACCAAAATTTTAAATGTTTACTGCACATATTATAAATATTTGCATATATAGCTTGGTAAAACTGGCTTTGGAATGTAGTCACCTTGTTCTTGAACTAATCACACATTGTCAAGGTCATTTCCCCTTTGGTATTCCTGAATTTTCCCATAGAAGTGTCATTGAAGAATTTCTCCTTAGACATGTACTGTGAGATAGTAAATTGTGTTTTTATTTGATTATGGTTTTGTATATTGTTCTTATATTATTCTTTTTATCATTTAGTTTATCTATGAATTTTTAGTTAATTTAAAATGCTAAATCACTTTCTAGATTATCGTGTTTATTTTAAGTAAATATGCATGTATTATGAGACTGACATCAGTTTCCCCGAGCAGTAATGTACAGATATCACCGATGTTGCACAAGAGTATGTAAATTACAATCACATGATTTGTAATCTCGTAATCTAACAAGGGAATAAAAACCCTATATTGAGCTGTAACAAGTTAGTTCATGAAATATAGTTGAAGGGTATTATTGCTGATTATTATTCGGGGTGCATACGCATCCTTGAAAGTCCTTGAAATAGAGAATGGAATTTCAAAGGCTTGAAAATGCTTGAAAAAGGGCAGAATATAGCAGAATATATTGATATATATAGCTTTAATGCATGTTATGGAGTTGAATGCAATAAATAGTTTTTCTTTTCTTTTAGTCTACATTCAAAGTAAATATTAAGTAATTATTTGTTACTATGTGCACACATTTGAAAAAGTAATAATTTAAGTTTATTTCACATTATTTGTGGTGGTTACAAGGTCAAACAACCTGAATATAGTTAGGGTAGAGAAAATAACAGATAAAACTTAAAATTTAACTGAATGTTTTGATATTTATTTAGATTTTAGAAGTGACATAAGTGAAATTTTTAAATTTTCAGATGAATGAAAGTATTTTTAATCTTAACATGAAAATCCCTTGGCACTCATACTAGTCAACACTCTGACTCCATATATTCATGGACAAATCTTTATTAAAAATACTTAATTAAAAAAATCGACTTTTTGTGTACAAAAATTAGTAATGTTTACTGAAAGTACACCAAAATTCATGAAGATACGTGTACCATATTAAAAGTTATAGTATGTGTATTCTTATGATTACATAGTGGCTACAATGATGGTGTAATCCACCGATCTGGTATGGAAAGAATAAGATAGGCTATCTCCTTAACTAAATCCAGCATTTCCAATTCCAGTTTATAAGCTCACCAACTTAGTAAGTGGTATTGTATACACAAAAACATACATGTACATCTGTGTATGTTTTATATGATGTATGGGTCAGTAGTGAAAGGGACATTTTAAAGTAAGATGTATCTCTCAGGGAATCAGTATGATAAGAGTAACCCACTTATATATTAGCCTGTTATTGTCTGTATAGTGCAGGTGCAAAAGTAGTGGGTGCCATGCACACATATCACCAGTAATATAATTCCTGGGATTTACAATGGCTCAAGGAGTACATATTTCCAAGACTAACTTTTATTTTTGTATTTCTTCTGGACACTGTGACAGTCATCGTTGAAACTTCTGATGAATTTAATGATAATTAAAGGTGGATGTGAACATTTAGTGTATGTGATACATAAAGTATGAATTTTTTATGGGTGGATTATGTAGAAAATTAATAGTGATTTCCTTGTTATGTTTGTGATTTTGAAATTTATGGAATAAAGTGAATAATACATGTAAATAAAGAAATTTTCAGTATGGAGAAATCTCGTATTATAGACTTGTTCATTGGGTAATGCTGGGGATGTAATAAAGGCTTGATTTTGACCTTTGAAGGTTTGGACCTGTGATAGTACTAATTTGTATAATTTATTGATGACATCACCATAATTATCAGTTTGTGTTTAGTTGAGAAGTATGTTATATAGAACAGTAACCATGATTTTATATTTGAAAGGATGCAAGTTGTTTATGTACACATTTGTAATGGTATGTGTGATACCCATTTAGTCACAGAGAGTAAGCTGGCATTGCAAGAGCACCCTGTTGTAGCCTTTCAAAAGAAATGCAACTGACTTTAGCAAAATTAATTTGTTTGAACATTTGCATTTAAAAAAAATAAATTTTTTGATTAATTAAATGTACCTTATAAATATACAGCAAAACAGAACAAAGTAACACTAACAGTCCAGTTTGAAAATAAATACGGACCTTCTTTTATCAGTCACAACGGAAAGAAAATCTGACACTGCTTGAATGCCAACTGATTAACTTTTGATTGTTTAGAAATGTCTTTGAATTCCTGGCTAGCGTATGAACATTTGAACATTGATTCATCATTAAGGAATATTTACTTTGATTAACAGAGCATTTTATTCAATAATTTAAAATTTCGTACCTTAATTTTGGGGTTATTTAAAAAATGATTAATTTGGTAAATAGGTAACAGGTGTTGGAAAATCTCATCAGGAGACAACAACAGAAGAAGTAGAAAGGTTACTTGGTCTTTTGAAAAAAATTCATATAAAAAACAATAGTAAGTGTATCTGCTATATTTAAATATATGTATTAAATTTATTTTAAATCTATCTGTCGGTTGCTTTGATTATTTTTGTGCATATGATTTTATTTGAAGAAAAGAAGCACTTTCAGGTCCACAGAACTCTAATATCTGTAGAATGTTTAATTGCTGTGTTCAATATAATTGAAAGTGAAGAAACTTTATGATCACAGCTGAGAGTTAATTTCAGTTAAAGTGGCCAAACCTTTGAAGTAAAGAGTTCCCATAATAGCTATTAGATGAAAATGATTTTCAGGTTTGTTCAGTGTTACAGATTCTTATAACTGTTGTTAATCAATAGAACAGTAAATTCACTTGTAATTGATTTTCAAAACGTAATGTGATCATTTCATTATTGGATTTTCCATAGAGATTAATCAAATTGTTTGTAGATTAGTTGCTAAAATCCTTTAATGACCCACATGATTGTCAGAGAAAACCTTAATTAAAAATAATTTGACTCTGCTTGAGATTCCACATACTGTAATGAAATCAAAATGGGAATAGCTTTATAAAGTCCAGGTGATTGTAAGAGGATCTGCAGGTGCTTTTAAACTTACTGTAGTCATTTCTTTCCTTGGAATTCCAACAGTTAAGTATAAGTTTGAGTAAAGACACTTAGAATTAGATGATAAAAGTCTTGTAAAATTTCTACTCTGTATGTTAGAGAAACTTAGACTAGTTTAGCTTCCAGTCACAATCATTTCTGAAAAAATAAATATTGTAAATATTAAAACCTAGTACATATGATGAAAATAATATCAACTGCACTTTTTTTTCACATTTCTCTTAATTAGCCCATTTCTTACTTGAAATCAGAGGGACATAAAAAAAGCATTTTAGACCTATCTTATCTCCCAAAGTTAAGATATTTCAGTTTATTTCATCTAATAAAAGTTTTTCACGTAATAAAAGTAGTCCTCATCCATGCCTTGTTTCCATATTTTTGAGATGGGTACTGATACTTGTGAATACTGTGTATTATCAACAGCTCATCATTAGCAATTATATTAAACACTGCTGTATACTATTGTATGTAATGTTTCTTTCACACTAATCATATCGCTGTAGTAACATGTAATCATGTTTTGCAGGTTGTTGGTTGTTTTCTTTGTCTATCTTTTAATGTTTTAAGGGCAGTACGAGTTGATTGTATTGAACAGCTGATAATCAAACCCCATCTTGCTGGGGTGTATATGAGTTCACTGTAAAGGACAGCTCATAATTAAACCCCATCTGACTAGGGTGTACATGAGTTGACTGTATAGGACAACTAATAATTAAACCCCATCTGACTAGGGTGTACATGAGTTGACTGTATAGGACAACTAATAATTAAACCCCATCTGA